TTTACTATTATATAAATACTATAGATTATATAAAATCAATAATACAAAATAATTATATTATTGTCTCTAGAAATTTGATTCTTTTTCAAATTGGTCTGGTCATTTCTGGAGGCTCTTATTTTTAGTTCATGTTTTATATACTATTCTGTGTTTTAATAATTCCTAATAAGTAAGTTTTGCAAGTCAGCTTTTTGATAACCAATATTTCTGCTAACTTTCACTCATGTCTTACTTTGTGACTTCCCTGACCTGTGCTGTACTTTTATCACAGTCTGTTTTGTTTGGTTTTTAACGAGTGGCTAGAAATTGAACCCAGAGCCTCATGCACACAAAGCAAGTACTGTACCACAGAGCTACTTTACAAGCCTGATTTTATTACACTTCTTATCCACTAGAACTTTATTTCTGGGTTTTTTGTTTTTGTTTTTGTTTTTTTTTTTGGTCTTTTTGAGACAGGGTCTCCCTGTAGCTCCAGCTGTCCTGGAACTCACAGAGATCCACCTGCCTCTGCCTCTGCTGGGATTAAAGGCGTGTGCCACCACGCCCGGCTTTCTGGTAATTTTTTAGCATCTGGACTAAGGGTCCAGTTCTCTAGGGAAACTTTTACAAGATGCCTGGGGCCACTACTAAACCAGGTCAACTTAAAGCAATCCTCATCATGAATTCAGGAGACCAGATGAGTGATTTGAATTCCGGCCCAAACCTATTAGAGGACCACCTTATGGTTTCAACCCCAAAGGGAGCACCGCTTTTGTTTTCTCCTCTCCTCTACTCAAGAGTCAAGGTCAAAAACTTAGCTGTGGAAGACTTTTAATAATGATCCAAGTATCTTTCATTGTGGTAAGGTACTATTGAAATCAAATTTTATTAGTTTGATGTTTAAAAAAAGGTGGCTATCACACAATGAGAAAAGTAACTAATAAAGTTGCTCTTGATATCTGCTATTTCTTTATGTCAGAGTTCTCTGCAACTTTCCCTAGTTATTCCAATAATCTTTATGTTGGATTTTCCATGCTTACATTGTTGTATGAATTTTTTCTCCTGATACAAATACATCTGATGATACTTTTCTTGTCTTCTACGTCTATGCTAATGCTAATATAAAGTTTTTGTTCTTTAAAAAAAAAAAAAGGCACTATTTCTATTATTAGAATACTTAAATGTATAACAGATTCATGCATATTCAATCAACTGATTGGTACTTTGTGTGAGATAATGTATTGAACGCAAATAGGAGCAGAAAGCCCCCAATGGAAACAGTCTTTCAGCTAAGCTTAGGGAAGAGGTAAACCATGGTCCTTTATCTGAGAACCAAGACATAAGGTTCCACTAAATTCTACTAAGTAAAGACTAGTTAGGTATGTATTACACAATTAAAATTAGTTATATCACAGGGTATTTATGAAGTTCAGGAAAGACAGTAGTTAGAAATAGTCCTCTCCAGTTATTTTCCAAACAAGAAGCTGCCCTTCAGATGTTAACACCAAGAGCTATAAAGAAAGTGTTTTCTCTTTCCAACTGCTCCTGAATGCTCAGAGATGCCCGTGCTGCACTGGGCCTCCTCCTAGCTCTTTTTTATGCAAAGCATTGATACTCACTTGTAAAAGTAAAGTTCACAAATACAGCTCACAAAAGCCAGGAGACATCTCAAAAAGTAAAAGACAAGAATCTGAAAGAAACCCAGAATAAGAAAACAGAAGTCAAAGACAGGAACCAAAAACAGTTATATGAATAAAGCCATTCTCATTTGTTATCAATAAACTACTATAAACTGGAAAAATTTTTTTTGAAAAGCAGGATTTATCAAGAACCATACAAATTTTCTTATCCCCAGACTCAGTATACCTACTACTATTACTGCAGGAGTAGAAGCCTCCATTCACAAAAACATCTACTGCAGCACTATTAATATAGCAAAACTTTTTTTTTTTTTTTGGTCTTTTTGAGATAGGGTCTCCTTGTAGCCCCAGCTGGCCTGGAACTTGCTATATAGATCAGACTGGACTGGAACTCACAGAGATCCACCTGCCTCTACCTCCTAAGTACTGAGGCTAAAGGTGTATACCACCACACCTGGCTAATTCAGTAAAACTTTTTAAAACTACACAATATCCGATTATAGGTATTCAACTCACTATGCTACATCTATTTCACAGAGTAGCCGCCATGTAGCTGGGAATCGAATCCTGGTCCTCTGCAAGAGCAGTCAGTGCTCTTAACTGCTGAGCCATCTCTCCAGTCCTTAGTCTCTCTTTTCTGACACAAGGTCTTACACTGTAGCTGAGGCTGCATTAGAATTCACTATGGAGCACAGAGTGGCCTCAAACTCACAGTAATCCTCTTGCCTCGGCCTCCCAAGTGCTGGGACTCTAGGTATAAGATACCTCACCTGGCTAGCAGGCCCTTCTTAAACAACCATAATATATTAAATACTGATTATTTACAAAACACATCACACATTATTATTATACAGCAGTGTTACAGCTATGGAAGCTATATGCATATGAAAAGCTGAAAAGACAATAATGGTAAGGGAAGCTGTGGCAGCCTACTGGGATTAAAGGATTTCTTTTTCCTCCTATCTTCCTAATATCTGCAATATGGTTTAATTAATTTATAATTAATAACATAAATTTAATAAAGATAACAATAGGGGTTATATTGATTAGCTTTTTAAAAGCTATTTATTTTTGTTTTACATGAATGAGTGTTTACCTGCATGTATGTAAGTGTACCACATACCCACTTGGTGCCCATGGAGGCCAGCAGAGGGCATCAGATCCCCTGGAACTGGAGTTATGGACAGTTAGCTGCTATGTAGGTGCTGGGAACTGAATCCAGGTCTTCTGCAAGAGCAGCTAGGGCTCTTAGCCACTGAGCCATCTCCCCCATCCTTGATTGGCTTTTATACTACAGAATACTGTGTGCTTAAGAGCACTGAATCCCTCAGAGAATAAGCACTACTTCACTATACAGTATGATTAACGTTAGTACATACAACCTGGAAGCATTGTCCATATTCATTGCTATAACCACTCAAATTCCCAAATGAGTTTCATAAAGTGATCCAGGTAATAATCAGATTCATTTATTAAGTCAATAAAACACTGAAAACCAACTATATGCCATGAGCACTTTTCCAGATGTCACAGAACTACAGAACATTTTAGATGAGTGTCTGGTTAAGGACTCCTCAGCTAAATGACACTCAGAAAGTTAAAATTAAATGAACTAATCTGAGAATGATAGTACTTGCCACAGGACAATGATGTCCCAGCTCTCCTAGCACAACTGAAAGCACCAGTCAGTGCAAAAAGGGAAAGAAAATAAGGTACAAGAACAGAATGAGAGAAACGAAACTTAGTACATAGCTATGGTTTGTTCCCCAGGTTCATGTACTAGAAGCTTGGTCTTCAGAGTGGCAGCAAATGGTTTTTATCAGAGGGACCTAGTAGAAAGTAAAGAGGTTAAACAGGCTCCGTTCTCATGAAGAGATTAACACTTTTTCTCAGGAGTGGGTAGGTCCTCATAGAAGTAGATTAGTTCCCTAGTGGATGGATTTTTACAAAGTGAGCATACTCTCTAGGCTTTGCCCTCATGTATGCATCTAGTTTCTTTTTGCTTCTGCACCAAATAATACAGTCAGGGGGCCCTTGCCATAAAGCAGACATCATACCCATTTTCCAACCACCAAAATCATGAGTTTAATACACAATTTTTTTTTCTTTACAAACTACTTGGCCTCAGGAATTTTGCTATAGCAACACAGAACAATGACATACATATACACAGCTGAAAAAAATTATAAAAATCAATTATGTACTTTTTTTTGGTCTTTTTGAGACAGGGTCTCCCTGTAGCCCCAGCTGGCCTGACAGTCACTATGTAGACCAGTCTGGCCTCGAACTCAGAGAGAAGCACCTGCCTCTGTCTCCCAAGTATGGGATTAAAGGAGTGTGCCACCATGCCCAGCCAATTATGTACTTCCATACAAACAGTAACCACTTAAAAAATAAAATTCCAGCCAGGCGTGGTGGCGCACGCCTTTAATCCCAGCACTTGGGAGGCAGAGGCAGGCAGATCTCTGCAAGTTTGAGGCCAGCCTGGTCTACATAGTGAGTTCCAGGACAGCTGGGGCTACAGGGAGACCCTGTCTCAAAAAGACCAAAAAATAAATAATAAAATTCCAAATCATTACAGTCTCATAAGTTAAAGATAAAATTAAAGCTAACAGAAGAAAATGGGAAGAATATTCGTGATCTGTGGGTAAAGGAGGATTTCATCAGAAAATCCTAAAAACCCAAAGAGAAGATCTGATCTGGCTACACCAGAGTTAGGGATTTTAACAAAGGACTGCAGACAAAGTCAACAGAGGTGACAGTCTAAACACAAGGATGTCCAGTATCTGGTATCAATAAAGGAGAGAGAAGCAAGAAATCCAATAGAAGCCAGATGAGGTGGCTCACGTCTATAATCCCAGCCCTCAGGAAGCTGAGACAGGCAGATCTCTGTGAGAGTGAAACCAGCCTGGTTTACATAGTGAGTTCTAGGCCAGCAGGGATTACAAAGAAGCCCTGTCTCAAAAAACAAAAAAAAAAAAAAAAAAAGAAAAAAGAAAAAGAAAGAAAACCCAATAGGAACAAAGCAAGCAAAGGATGTGGAGAGGCAATTCACAGAAAGAGAACTCTGAATGAGAGATGCATGGAGAAGCACTCCACTCCACTAGAACCCAGAGAAATCCAAAGAAATGAGGAGCATCACATGAAGGAGAAAGCCAGGAGGGAAGAAATGGAACCTCGGCTGCTGTGGGTGCACAGGCTCACAGCCACATGGAGAGTCAGGAAGCCTCAGGGCCTGTGTGTGGATGCCCAAGCTTGAGTGCACACTTCAGATAAATTCACACACAGATCCAGACACAGACAGGACAAAACTGCTCACATGGGGAGTGGCAAGAGGGTGGGAAGGTGGCATCACAAGAGGCACCAAGCACTGCCATGCTGTCTCTCCAACATCTACCCTTTGCTGCCTTCAGCATGACCATGCTGGGGGATTCTGCAAGCTCCAATTCTCTTTGTGGGTCGCTGTCTACTGGCACCCACCTCGAAAGAGCAGAGAGAAGGGACTGGAAGTAAGAGAAGGGCAATGTTCCCATTTTATTGGCTGCTCACATGTTAAGATGACAGGAGTACGAGAGGAATAATTCTGTGAACATCAAGTTTAAAATGAGAGTGGACATCCAAATGGAAATAAAAATGCAAAGACTATGTGCAATTAGTCCTCTACTGAGTCTGTCATCCTATTTTCCTCTAACAAGCTAAAAAGAAAAACAACAAACAAAAAACCCACTAAAATACCAGAAATGAAGTATCTCCAACACACTCTCTCTCCAAGACTCAAATGACTTTATATAAGAAGCTATCTGACTTTCTCTTTACTTGAACCGTCAGTCTAAAAGGACCGTTCCCAACTCTTCCTCAACTCCATTCTTCTCCTACCTAGACAACACTTTCAGATCTCTAGACTTCTGATTCAAGGAAGATGGACCTTTCCCCTACTCCTCCTGCTAAGTAATTAAAAATAACTTTATAGACACTATATTTTAAAATGTTCATAAGAGACTCTAAAATGTACAGAGAATGCAGACAGGCATAGACACTGAGATAAAAAGAACAAGATAGCAGGAAATTCCATTTTCTTTTTGCCTATGTATTCCAAAATTGTATGAAGCTCAAGAAACTGGCAACTAGAAAGACCAACACAGACAGAAGCACTCCAGAAGGCCTCTCTAGCCAAAGGCCAAGACAGAGGCAATCCAGGGCCAATGAGACAGCTCAGCAGGTAACACACCGTACAAGTCTTATGACCTGGGTTTGATCTCTGGAATGCATTTAAAGGGAGAAAGAGAGAACCAACTCCATTAACGGTCTCTATATACATACCATGGCACACTTGCACTCATACATCATACACATACACAATAAATATAAATAAGTAACCTATCATAGCAGGAAACTTCCAGACAATAACCAGTCTTCAACTCCAGCCAATACTCAAGGATAAAACTGTAGGCTCCAAAAGTGCAGTGGGATGCCAGGTCTTTGGTCCCCATGGGTAGTGGACTAACCCATCCCCAACTTGAGAGTACTGAGTTGCCCCTACCCTGTTTGCTTGGTGGCATCAATGGAAGCCTAGGAGCAAGCTGGAACTCATACCTGTGTCCAGAACAACAGAGAGAACCTCTTCCCTGGGTATCAACAGCCTAGCTGGGAACTTGGACTTCTACCTTCACTTGGCAGAACAAGGGGGAGATGCCTCCACCCATTCCAGCTGAAACAGTGCCAAAAATGGGCAGTTAGTTAAACAGAAGATGTAAGAAAGGTCCAAGGAGACAACAGTGCAAAGGAAGCATGCTGAGCTCACGAAGGACAAAGTCTCATAATGCAATACCTAAAACGACTCAGTTTCAACAAAGAACTAAGACCTCAAAATGAATGAAAAAAAATGTCAACAAAAACACGGCAAGGATGTTAGAAAAGCATTTTAAAGCAGATATTAATAAAATACTCTAATGAACAATTGCAAAATATCCTCGATATAAATGAAAAATTAGAAAGTCCCAGGAAAAGACAAAGAAAAGCCAAATGGACAATTTAGGACTGAAGGAAATAACCAAAATAAAAGGCTCACTTGGGCCAGGTGTGGTGGGGCACTCTGGAGGCAGAGGCAGGCAAATCTCTGTGAGTTTGAGGCCAGTCTGGTCTACTTGGTGTGTTCCAGTCTAGCCAGGACTACACAGTTACACCCTGCCTCAAAATTAAAAAAAGTTCAATGGATGACCTCAATAGTGGGATGGAGTGAAGAATCAAAGAATTAGAGGAGAGAACAGAAATTGTTAGCAACAAAGAAAAAGCAGAATAAAAAGAAAAGAAAGAAATGAACAGAAACTCAGGGACCTGTGGGACTGAGTAAAAAAAATCTGACATTCATGTCATTGGAGTCCCACAAGGAGAGGACAAGGCATGGCTAGAAAAGTACTCAAAAATAACATTAAAAAACTTCCCCTTTAGTTCCAGCACTTGGGAGACAGGGGCAGGCAGATTTCTGTGAGATCCAGGCCAGCCTGGTCTACATAGAGAGTTCTAGACCAGCTGGAACTACAGGGAGACCCTGTCTTAATAAAAAACAAATAAACTTTCCCACATTTGGGTTTGAGATGACTTGGTGGGTAAGAGTGCTTGCCATGAAATCATGGGGATCCAAAAATTCAAATCTCAGCGTTCATGTAAAAGCCAGGTATGGGTGGCCATGTGTACCTGTAACCCCAGCCTTGGCAGGGAAGAAACAAGTGGCAGGTTCAGTGAGAAACTCTGTCTTAAGAGAGTAAGATGGGGCCGGGCGTGGTGGCGCACGCCTTTAATTCCAGCAGGCAGAGGCAGGTGGATCTCTGTGAGTTCAAGGCCAGCCTGGTCTACATAGTGAGTTCCAGGCCAGCTGGGGCTACAGGGAGACCCTGTCTCAAAAAGACAAAAAAAAAAAAAAAAAAAAAAAGAGAGAGAGAGAGCAAGATGGAAAGCGATAGAGGAAGACTCCCTCCGGCCTCCACATGTGTGCGCAGGCACGTGTATGCACACAGGCACATGCACCCTTCCCAAATTTTGCAAAAGGCATAAACCTAGAGAGATTAAAAAGCTGAGAGAACTCCAAACAAAACAAAAACAAAAAATCCAGAGAAAACATCATTCAAAAATTTTGGAACTGACAGGTAATGCTTGAGCACTCTACTTAAAATAGACCCCATGCTACCCCTTCATGCATTGTACTGTTTTCCCATAAAACCTGCATTTAAAATTATTTAATGTTTATCTCCCCAGTGAACTCTAAACTCCAGGAAGGGAGAGATTCTATTGTTTCCACATTATTTATCACAGTCTGTATCATATAAAAGCTGCTCCATTACTATTTGTTGAATGAACACATAACTGATCCTTTTTTAAAAAGATGGGACAATGAGATGCCTGAGCAGGTCAAAAAGTACTTGCTGCACAAGCCTGACAACCTGATCTTGACTCACAGAACTCAGAGTAAGAGGAATGAAGAGAACCCTGAAAGCTGGCCTCTGACTTCCACACACATGTCATAGCTCACAGGCCCACAGTCACATCACACACAATTTTTAAACATGTCTAGCACGGTGACTCAGGCCTACAGACCCAGCAAATGGGGAGAATGAGGAAAGAAGGATCATGTGAGTCCACAAGTTCCATGCTAGTCTAATATAGTGAGACTCCATCTGCAAGAAGGAAAATGAAGAAAGAAAAGAAAATGGCCTCATAATTACCAATAGATTTTGTTCTCTTTTCCAAAGTGCTCCGAAGACTCACCTCTTCATCAGAGTGGTTGCTGTCAGGTTAGCCAGCCCTTACCTTATTAGTCTGCAGAATTCTTGCATGAAATGCAGCTGGCCAGGCATGAAGCAACAGGTAAGCATAGGAGCGAATGGCATACACTGGGGAATATTCCCAAGTCTGAAACCCCTTCCCATAGATGAGGTAGTGTGTCTGGAATAAAAGCAGATGGACACAATTATACTGGCCAAGTCCATCTCTAGGGAATACAGGTGAAGATTCCATGTTGAATGGTTAAAGGCACAAAAATGTTGAGAATTTTAGCATTTATAACTAATGGATAAGAAACAAATGAACTCATATTTTAAAATTAAGATATAAGTTGTAAAAGCCTAAACTTTGTTTTCTTAAAACAATCTTTAACCAAAACAGAAAAACTCTAAATCTTCTATTTTCCTGAAATTATCCACACTAAGCATTATTGCTTCATTATTTTTTTTTTTTTTGATACAAAATGTGATTAACTTCACCTGCAAATTTCAGGAAGTCAACAGACAATGTATAAATCTATCAGTCAAGAAGCAGCATTATAAGCCCATTTGGTAGTACTGTTTATTCTGGCAAACATCAGAAGAAATAAATTAAAAATTTTGGAAGAATGTGCTTGCCTCTGGGAAGTGGGATCTGGACATGAGGCAAACAGGGAATTATTTTTCCTTCAAGTTTTGTAGTAACTATTTATGTATGTATATGTGTGTGAGTATGTACATGCGTGTGTGGAGGTACCTGTGGAGGCCAGAAAAGGATATGAGATCCCTTAAGCTGGAGTTACAGGCATTCACAAGTCACCCAACATGGATGCTGGGATCTGAACTCCAAGTTCCATAACTGAGCAGCAAGCACTCTTAACACTCAGCCATCTCTCCAGCCCCAATCAGCAGTTTTTAGAATATAAAGGTGAAGACGATTTATTTTACTAGTCATCATATTTGCATTTTAGGTGTGTGTTGAGAGGTCATAAGTACCAAAGCAAAACCAAAGACAACAACCAGAACTAGAGGACAGGGATTCAGCTGATGGTAAAGCGTTTTCCTAACATGCCCAAGGTCATGGGTTAGAGCTCCAGGACTGAAAACACCAACAGCTAAATAAATCACCTACCGGTTCCCAGTAGTTGAATGTTTCATCACAGTCAGAGATGTTGCTTAGAAGAGCAGCGCACAATCTTGCTGAGAGCAGACACTTGAAAGCAGTAGATCCTTCAGGTGCCCAGACTTGACCTGCCTTGCTCCCAGGTGGCCTGCCCAGAAGCAAAGAACAAAACCAAAAGGGTATCAGGAAGGACCTGTCTAAAATTAGACAGGACAAGGAAGGCACTGCAGTCACTCCCCTAAAAAGATGAACTGTTTGTCATGTTTGAGTTGAATGAATAAGGAACTCAGTTTTTAATCACTCTTTCCACTTTCTGTTTTTAAGACATACACTTAATTCATACAACCCTGCCTTCATCTCAGGCCAACGAATCACTCACTTGAAGCCCACAATTCTCTCACTCCATTTCTTGCTCCTATTAAGGTCACTCCTTTCTGTATCCATGTCCCCTCCAAACGAACAGAGGCCTAAGAAAAGGTGCAGGTGGCAGACCTCCTCTGATCCCACATGCTGACCGCAGGCTCCAAGCTTGGGGAGTGGTGGTTTCCAGCACTGAAGGTTGCGGCGTAGGGACCACACAAAAGGCTATACGGGGCTTCGCGGGGGTGGGGTCCAGCATCCGTGAGAAACAGGGGTAAAAGGCGTATTCTCCAACCTACAGATCCCACAGAGGCCGTGCTAACTGAACCAGCACCAAGCCATCCAGGCTGGGCCTAGACCACAAGCGTGGAAGACCCTCACTCCAAGGATGCTCAACACGGAGGGGCCCGCGATGCATCAGGTGGGGCGAGGGCAGACCAGAACCGGCAGGAGGACCAGGCAGCGGAGACACCCCCCCCCCCCGCCTCGCCCCCC